CACATGACAAGGTGCCCTGACACAGTCACAGTCTTGAAGCCCCTTTTTATTTCTTTTAAAAAGATTTAATTTTTTATGTGTATGAGTGTACTGCCTTTATGTACACAAGTGCACCCGTGTTGTGCAATGCCCATGGAAGTCAGAAGAGGGCATCGGATCCCCTGGGACTGTTAGCCACCATATAGGTGCTGGGAATTGAACCCACGTCCTCTGAAAGAGCAGCTAGTACTCTTAACCATTGAGCCATCTCTCCAGCCCCTCTCCCCTATTTTTTTTTTTTTGTGAGACAGGGTCTCACTATGTAGCCTGGGCTGGAACTCACTATGTAGATTAGGCTGGCCTCAAACTCAGAGATCTGCCTCCCTGTTCCTCACTTGAAACCTTGTTTTGATGTACTGTTTTCACCTTTGGCCTTACTCCAAATTCTCCTCAACTACTGTTCCTGTGGACCTGGTTATGAACTTGACTCTTATAACAAAGACTCTAGAATTCTTCTCTGTCCTCTCTCTTCCTCCTTCCCTCTCCTCTTTTTCCATAAAAAAAGCGAACAGGTTTTCCAAGTATACTACCAGGGTCAGCAGGCTGAAACAGCCAGGATTCTCTGTCTTACCTCAAGTCAAGTCTCTTTGGGCTGGAAGAGTGGGTACCCAGATACTAAGAGTGCTGAGAAATTTTGGATTTAATCAGTGGAGGAATTAAGACTGCAGGGGTTGGGGAGATGGCTCAGTTGGTAATGTACTTGTCAAACAAGCATGAGGACCCAAGTTTGATCCCCTAAGCTAACATGAAAAAAAAAAAACAGGGGTGGCATATGCTTGTAATCCCAGTACTGGGAGGTAGAGACAGGCAGATCCTTGGAACTTGCTGACCAGCCAGCCTGGTTAAACCACCAAGCCCCAGGCCAGTGAGAGACCTGGTCTCAAAAGACACAAGGTAGGGGCTAGAGAGACAATTCAGCAGTTAAGAGCCAGTGCTGCTCTTCCAGACCACCTGGATCCAGATCCCAGCATCGACACTGGAAGGCTTCACAGCTGCCTATAACTCCAGCTCCAGAGGACTCTACACCTTCCTCAGAGGCTACTCACACACATGGCATACAGACAGACACACAGAAAAATAAAAATAAATATATATTTTAAAATTATTTATTATTTATTTATTTATTTAGTTTTTTGAGGCAGGGTCTCCCTGTAGCCACAGCTGGCCTGGAACTGGCTATGTAGATCACGCTAGCTTCAATCTTACAAAGATCCACCTGCCTCTGCCTCCCAAATCCTGGGATTAAAGGCGTGTGCTACCACACTGAGTTAAAATAAATATATTTTTTAAATGAGATGGATGGCACCTGAGGCAGAAGAACACCCCAAATTGTCATCTGCACCCCTCAGAAGCATCACATATGCACGTGTTCACATACACACATGCACCTGCAAAAACTGAACATGCACACAAACATACACAACACACAATGCAATGCAAAACAAAAGGCTCAAAATGTACTTCAGTACAACATTTACTTAGCAAGCATGAAACCCTGGGTTCAAACCCCAGCACAGCATAAAGCAGGTATGGTGGGCTACATGCCTGTAACCCTAGCACTCAGGAGGTAGAGGCAGGAGGATCAGAAGTTGAAGGTTATCCTCAGCTGCATAGTGACCAGCCTGGGCTATAAACCATTAAATATTAGTCTGGACTTTCAAACCCTGTAAAACTTTCAGTTAATGACAAGGAATTCTACTAATCTTTTTTTTTTTGGTCTTTTTGAGATAAGATCTCCCTGTAGCTGCAGTTGGCCTGGATTCACTATGGAGACCAGGGTTGGCCTCAAACTCACAGAGATCCACCTGCCTCTGCCTCCCAAGTGCTGAGATTACAGGCATGCTTAAAGGCATACCACACCACGCCCAGCAAGAAGTCTTCTGATCTTTTAATCTACACACACACACACACACACACACACACACACACACACACACACACCCTGGAAGACTTTTGTTTAGAAACAGGCTCTGATGCATACCTGAATCTGATGACCTGGGCAGCAGAGCTCTTCCCTCTCTTTGGTCAATCCTCTTCCCCCTTCCTCTGTGCTGATTCTTTTAAACTAAACAACTGGGAGAGACTGTGAGGTTGGAACCAAGCCAATGGGGAAAAGACACAGTACTCTTGTTTTAGGGATTAAAAACTATCAAGCTTCTGAGTCTGGTGTGCTTGCTTGATCTGAATTATGTCATCTTGCATTTTTTTGCAAAAGTAAAAGTTGCCTTGCTGAGTTACTTTTGTTTTTGTCCCCATGTTCTTTGTGGGGCATCAGTGCATTCCTTGCACCTCAGCTTTAATGTCTAACAGGCTATGTGAGGCCCTGTCTTAAACACACACACACACACACACACACACACACACACACACACGCACACACACACAAATGCAAGCAAGCCTTAGGACCTGAAATGTGATTCTGGGAATTCCTTTCTGCTTCCTTTGATGCAAGGTCTGTGATAGGTAAGTAGGAGATGGATGAATCCAGTTGATCGTGAGACAGCACCAGGACACAGATGAAACTACATCAGAATAGAGTTTATTAGCAAAGGAACACATGGGACAGATTCCCTTCTGAGAAGGGAAAATGTCTGCCCTGGGTCATGAGCTGGGGTCTTTTATAGGGGGAGGCTTCTTGGGGGTTCAGGAAGCAGGAAGATATCTTTTTTAAAGTTGGGGGGAGTGGGAGAGTGGGACTGTCAAAACCTACCCCCTTTAGAGATCAAAGGAGAAGCCTGCTGTGTTGGCCAAACAGTGGAGAAAAGTCTGCTTCTCTTGGCTTCAAAGACCAAGGTGCTTATCAACTCGGTTCCCTTTTCTCAGGGGCTTGCAAGGTCCCTGAGGCCCTGTTGGTGAGGGGGCAAGGCTCTCTGAACCTTAACAGTCTATTCTAGTTATCAACCTTCTAGGATAAGTTTCTCCCACCTTCCTTTCCTCCCTCTGTACCTCTGTACCTCTCACTTCAGTGCTTCGGGTTGAACCCAGAGCCTCATGCATGTTAGGAAAGCGCTCTACTTTTGAGCTACATCCCAGCCAAGAGAAATTTATTTATTTAACAGGGTCTCTCTGTAGCCCCTTGTGATGGTTTGAATGAAAATATCCCCCATAGGCTCCAAGTATTTGGACATTTTGTCCCCAGATGATGGTGCTGTTTTGGGAGGTTTTAGAAGGTGTGGCTATCCTGGAGGAAGCAAGTCACTGGGGCTGGGCTTAGAGAATTCTTAAGCCTTGCCTGATCTCCAGTTGGTCTCTTGCTTCCTATGTCTGCATGATGATGTGAGTGTTGAGCTTCTACTCCTTCTCCTCCAGGCACCTCCAGCCACCATGCCTCCCTGCCATGATAGACTGTAATTCCCCTGGAACTGTAAGCTCAAATAAACTTCCTTCTATAAATTGTTTGGGTCAGTGTTTCTATCACAGCAACAGAAAAGTAACTAATACACCCCTGCTGGCCTAGAACTTGCCATGTCGACCAGGCTGGCCTTGATTTCACAGAGATCCACCTGCCTCGGTTTCCTGAGTGCTGGGATTAATGGTACGAGCTACCATTCCCAGTCAGAAATTTCCTAATAAATTCCTCTGAGTTGTATAAGAAACATTTTTTGGACACAGAGTCTCACTATGTTTCCCTGGAACTCACTAGGTAGAACAAGCTGGCCTTGAACTCACAGATAATCTGCCTGCCTCTGCCTCCTGAGGTCTGAGATTAATGGCACACGCCACCATGCATTGCCTGAAATGATGTTTCTTTATCCAATTTCCCATCCAAATCATGTAGGTTTAGCTACTAAATTAGGTATTTAAAATCTGAATATAAATTATCAAGTTCTTTTTGAAAACACTATTTTTAATTCATTTCCTGATCTTCATACTTAATACCAAATGCTTAATTTTATAATTAAAAAATACTATCCAAATGATGCCAAACAAAAACAGTAGTGTTTCCTCTGACAGCATGGATTCGCCATTCTGTAACATAATGATAGACAAGGAGGACAAGGTCTCTGCTTTGATTACCATTCTCAAGGACCACTCCAGTCCTCTCTTGCTATTTTCTGGACCAACAGCTCTTTTCTATCCTCCCTCCTCCTTGGGCGCTAATAAAAATAGAGCCTCCAAAATTGCTTCTTATCCATCCAACTAGCCAATGTAGATTTCTTCTTGCTATATAGTTTAGGCTGGCCACCAATTTGCGGCGATCTTCCTGTCTCTCCTTCACAAATTGCTGGGATTACAGGCATAACCCACCACATTTAAGCACAACATAAGACTAATTTTTTAAAAATATATGCTATGTGCTACGTGCGTGGGTACTTGAGGAGACCAGAAGACAGTGTGGGATGTCCTGGAGCTGAATTTACAGGTGTTTGTGAGGCAACCAAAGTGGGAGCTGGGAACTGAACTTCGGTCTTTCAGAAGTGCAACAAACGTTCTTAACCGCTGAGCCATCTCTGGAGCCCATCAACATAGGATTTCCAAAGCGCACATCTCTGGGATGACTTTCAACTGCCCACAGAAGAAAGTCCTGATTCTCAGACTTCATATGTAAGTCACCTGCAGCACCAGGCCCCTGGTCATTACTGCAGCCAAAGCCCCAAGCATTATCTTGCTACATGCACAAAATGCAACTGGGGTATGTGGAGTTGTCTGAAGGGAGGGAATCTGAGGGCAGTAAACTAAAATACTCCAATCTGGCCCATCTGGAGGCAGCCTTTGGATGCCTCCAGTACACCTTTTCCTATCATCGTGATTTTGACTCCTGGTTTAGGAGGACTTGAAACCACAATGAATAGTTCCTCTCCGGATTATTTCATTGGGCGGCCCTGGCGGCCTTAGACGGACCAGCTCCCTCAAGTGTTCACAGTTCCAGCTTCACAGTCCACTAACTGCAGCCCGGGGAGCCAGAACCAGTCCCGACCGCCGCCGCACGGTCACGTGACCCTGCGATTGTCACGCGGGTCCGGCTCACCTGACTGGGGCCTCACGTGGGCTCAGCCTGCTGAGAGAGATCCCCGGTGGGACATGGCGGGCTCCAGGCTCTGGGTTTCGCTGTTGCTGGGGGCGTCGTTAACGTTTTGGGCCTCCGCGGTGTGGCCCTGGCCCCAATACATCCAAATCTATTCCCAGTGCTACACCCTCTACCCCAACAACTTCCAGTTCCGGTACCATGTCAGTTCGGCCGCTCAGCCGGGCTGCGTTGTCCTGGACGAGGCCTTCCGACGCTACCGTAACCTGCTCTTCGGTACCGGCTCTTGGCCCCGGCCCAACTTCGCAGGTGAGTCACACCCCTACCTCCCTCGCCTTGTTCTGGGGTGAATCAGCCCCCGCAGATCGCCCGGACTCCTTGCGCTGGCTTTTCCCTAACCCTCTCCACTCTCACACCCCTTTCCTCTTGCATTTTCTGCAGCTGGCCTCCCCAGCCTCCCTAGCCATAACCCCCATCGTCCACGCACCCCTTTACTGAGCGGACTTTGGGGAGCTAGGCTTATCGGGAACCCTTTATTTGGTGTGTATTGAGGTTTTCATTTTTGAAAATGCCTGCTGTAGGACGGACCACTGTTCAATCAGAATATCAAAATACTGAAAACACTATGCCAGTGTAGACATTTAAGGTGATCCTTTGAACCGTGCTCAGGTGGCACTGGGTCCTACTGAGGCTGTGACCAGGGCTGCATAGTGAAGACCAGAATATGTCTGGTTCATAACATTTTCAGTAAATGTTTAAACAGAGAAAAATCATAGAACACATTCACAAAGCAGTGAGCTTCCAGGGACTTGAGGCAGAGGCCCAGAGGGTTAGGTCTGAACTTAAAGTCCAGGCCTGGTGCATGGAGGTGAGGGTGCGATATAGTGGATATTTAATAACAGTTTGTTAGATCTGTTGTATTAAAGGGTTGCTTTGTGTGTTTATAAGGGGCACTTTTCTCATCGCTGTGATTAAAAAAACTTAAGCCATGGGTGGTGGCGCACGCCTTTAATCCCAGCACAGGGGGAGGCAGAGGCAGGTAGAGCTCTGTGAGTTCAAGGCCAGCCTGATCTACATAGTGAGTTTCAGGACAGCTGGGGATGCAGGGAGACCCTGTCTCAAAAAAAAAAGGGGGGGGGGCAAACCCCCCCCACAATTTAAGGGTTTATTTTGGTTCTCTATTATAGGAAGTACAATCCATCTGGGCTGAGAGCTTGGGTTATAGGAGCTTGATGCAGCCAGTTGAGTCTGGCACAGGTGGTCGCATTGCACCACAGTCTGCTGAGAGCAGAGTGCTGATGCACATAACACACAGTAACTTTCTCAGTTTCCCTTTTTATTTGTGTGACACCCCTCCCCATGGCATGGTACCATTTACATTTAGGATGGGTCTTTCCTCCTCAGTTAAACCAGTTTCTAGGGACACCCTCACAGACACACCCAAAGGTATGTTTCCTAGGTTGCTCAAAATCAAGTTCAAATTGAAAATGAAGATTTACTATCTATCCCTAATCCCTAAAGGCATCATGATTCTTGTTTCTTTTCTTTTTGGTCTTTTTGAGACAGGGTCTCCCTGTAGCCCCAGCTGTCTTGGAACTCACTATGTAGACCAGGCTGGCCTTGAACTCACAGAGATCTGCCTGCCTCTGCCTCTGGAGTGCTGGGATTAAAGGTGTGCGCCACCATGCCCGGCCCTAATTTCCCCTTTTTATTTTAGTTTTTTATCTTCCTGAATTTTAAGCCATTCTGGGGATAATAAAAAAAATAGTTGTGAATGCCTTTGCTCTCTTTGAAGGATGGTTAAGCAGTGAGAAGAATTTGGTAATTTTTAAAGTAAAATGAATCTAAGGGTGTCACTGACAGATTACTTACCTAGCATGCACAAAGCTCTGGGTCTGACCCCAGCACTACAAAAAACTGGAGAGAAAAAAATTTTTTTCAAGAGCAAACCCAGAGTATGAGCCCCAGTGATGGCCTTCCTTCCACTTCCTTCTACCCTGTACTTCCTCTCTTCCAGTAAGAGTGAAGTAGGCCATTGGTGTGATTTTGCCAGTTGGTATCGGTTTTGTGTGTATCTTTTATTTTTTACTTTTTTATTTCTTCAAATATTTTATTTATTTTTTTTTAAATTTTATGTGTATGAGTGTTATGACTGCATGTGGGTAAGTGCACCCATCTCATGCAATGTCCGTAGGAGACAGAAGAGGCTGTTGGATCCCCTGGAACTAGAGTAGCATGTAGTTGTTAGCTGCCATGTGGGTGCTGGGATTCGAACCCCGGTCTTCTGCAAGAACAGTCAGTGTTCTTAACCGATGAGCCATCTCTCCAGCCCCTGTTTGTATCTTTTCTTTTTAAACAACCACATGATTAGAAGAAGCATTTCGTTACATCTTTAACATATTCACTAACCTGTTTGTATCTTTTAAACACTACTTGTGAACATTTTAGCTGCATAATCTCATGCTAGGGCATGTTGTAACTTTCTTAACCTATTAAAATTGTAGGCCTCCATTTGAATCACCTCAAAATATTTAGCCAGTCCAATTTTTGGAGCTTTCTCTCATTGTTGTGGAGCTGTTGATAACCTGATAACCAGAGCTGCTGAAGAGAATGAGTTGGTTATGTGGAGTGAGAGAAGTGTGTGTGCAAAGAGTTTTTTGTGACCTGCTTCAAGGTTTTTCTTTCTGTCTGCAATATATTGTCCTAGGGAGACAGATTGGGTTCGCTTCTCCCTAGGTGTAGTGAAAAAAGCCTATGATTAGGTGCCTGTTCTCTTTCTGTCTTTTGCCTCTGTGGTGAAAGTTGGGGCATTGCTTAATCTTCCCCAGTGAACAATGGTGTGCCCAGTGGTCGGGTTTGGGATCAGTGAGAATTACTCCTGGTGGCCGAGTATGCTCAAGTGCAGGAAGTAGGGGTGCTCATCGGCTCAGCTGCCAGTAAACAACTGCCTATTTCTTTTGTGAAGCTCTTGGAGATGGGGGTGGGGGGCTGCTTACCAGGCACAGTGTTTATAGGTGAGGTGTAAAACCACAGTACTGTTCTGCCTACTACTGACTTTGTAGTAACTGGTGCTAAGATTGCTCATTAGTGGCTATGTTCTTTTAATTGAGACTGCAGACCTGGATTGGGGCAGATTCAAATTGCTTCTTTTGTATGTTGGAGCTGTCAGGCTGCTGTACAGTGGCATCACATGGTAATGGAGTCTTTGGCCTCCTGTAAGAAGCCCTTAGAAGAAGAAGAGGAGGAAGGGGGGGGGGGGGGGGGGGGGATTGCTCAGCAGCTAAGAGCACTTGCCTCACTTCCAGGGGACCTGGATTCAGTTCCCAGGACCAACATGTCTGCTAACAACTTTCTGGATAATTCCAGTTCCATGGGATCTGATGACCTCTTCTGGCTACCACGGGTGTTACATGCATGTGGTCCACTTAACACATTATACAGGCAAAACACTCATACACATAAAATGAAAATAAATTTTAAAAGAAGCCCTTGAAAAACCCTCTTGGCTATACCCCAAGGCGCCCTGTTCCAGGACTCCTCCAGGCAAGTGTCACACAGTGGAGCTTTGCTGTGGTAAAACTGACCTAGTGGAAAAAGGGAAGTAGAAAGGGGAAGGAAGCTAGCCTTGGTCCAGTGGCTGGCACTTGAGCTGTGTTATACCCTTGCTTTGTCAGTCCAGCTCTGTGAGCTGAGGACCAGGACCGAGACTTGGAGGCAAAATACCTGCCAAGGTTACCCAGCTAGTAGTGGTGGGACAGAAATTCCAGCCAGATCTGTCCACCAAGGTTTTCGTCTCTTCACTGCATTTTTGCAGTGCTCATTTTTGTCTTTGTCAGGCTAGTTAGTGATTTAGAAAACTTGGCCTCCGGGAAACTTGAGTTCTGATCAAACCTTAGGGTTATCAATTTAAAATCGTAACTTCTAACATCTAGCTGGTTATTTATTACCATTTAGTGTATCACTGGTTTTGCTCCATTGTTTTCATTTTGCATTAGCATTTCTAGCCCTTCCTTCCTCCCATCCTTAGTACACTTAGTACTTATTAACCAACTATAATTTGTAAATAGCACTGTATCCAAAGAATACATTAATTGAACTGTCCTCATCCTTAAGAATTGCAGTTTGGAACTGGGGATGTAGCACAGGTGGTCGAGTGCTTACTTAGCATGTATAAAGCCCTAGGTGTGATCCCCAGCACCACATAAGGTGGGCAGGTTAGAACATAAAATCTCAGCACTCAGGAGATGAAGGCAGGAGGATCATAAGTTGAAGGTCATCCTTGATAAGGATTACAGTTACTCAAAGTGGGAATATAGACATACAATAAAGTATAAATTTTTTTCTGGGGTATTTGAAGAACAGGATGCTTTGAGAGTGCAGATGAGGAGGGTTGGGAAGGTGCAGTTTGAAAAGCTTTTCTTGGGGAGTTATTTAATCAGACGTGAAAGGAGGAGTTGGTGGGGATGGAGATGGTATTCCACAGAGGAGAGCTTGTGGAAAGGCCTTCAGGTAAGAAGCCTTCCAGACCTACTCCAGAAAGCCAAGGTCGGTGTGGTTGAAGTACGTAAATCTCAAGTGGGCTGAGTTCTGAAAAGTGATCAGTAAAGAGTCAGAAGCAACATAATGAGTGGTAGTCAGCAGGAGCTTTAAAGGAAGGCCAGTAAGGGCCATTAAACAGAATAAGTGATGTGACTAAATTGGCTGTGTGTGGGATCAGTGGCAGTAAAACTAGAAACAGGAAAAACAGTTTAAAGGTTGGTATAGTGGGAGGCTGGAGAGCTGACTCAGGTTAAGAGCACGTGTTGCTCTTGCCGAAGTCCAGCACCCACATGGTGACCAACAACCACCTGTAACTCCAGTTTGAGGGGATCCAACACCCTTTTCTACTTCCATAGGCATTTCATGACATGGGCATACTTACATGCAGGCAAAACACTCATACTCATAAATAAAATATAATAAATTTTTTGTTAAAGCTTGTGTAGTGGTCCAGCTAAGAGAGTTATTTGAAGAGTAGGTTGACAGCTGCAGGGACAGGGCCCTTCTGGACTGCCCAGAGATTTAGGAGATGGTGTGTTTGGAAGTAGGGAGTTAGGAGTTAGAGTGGGATGCTGAAGATAACTCTCATATTGGTAATTTAGCAGTTTGAATATTCATTCTTATTTACATGTTGATGCCAATTCACAAAGATAGAAGAAAAAGGAAAGATTAAAGAATGAAAAGAAAAAGAAATTGACCAACAGACCGAGCATGATTAACCGTAAGTTTTGATTTTGGATGTGTCCAGTAAAATGTATCTTAGAAATCAG